CGCGGAGGGGGCGGCGGGAGGGGCCGCGCTGTGGCCGCGCAGACACTAGGTGGGGCCATCGGCTAGAGGGAAGGAGCCCGAGGAGAGGGGGTCCAGGGTCATAAAGGCGCTTTCTACCTGGTTCCCGTCTCAAATGAAATACTGCTCCTTAGCTCTTACAAATCCATCCAGTATTTGGCTGAAATACCGCCAGACTGCCTTATTTTATGTGAAGACAAGGCCATGCCTTTGATGTCCAGGTCACGTTGTGCAAGACAGCGTTTACTTTAGATGTATGTTTGAATAATATATGTTACAGTCGTTTGTGACTGCCTCTTTCTCCTCTAGGCTTGGCCCAGGGATGCATTCAAAGACAGTCACCATTCCAGACATTTGGAAGGGAAAACTATAACCCATTTCTCAAGCAGCTCTCAAATATCTTGTACACACAGTTCACATTTTCTCCTGAACTTGTACTTTGCCAACTTGAGGAGGAGGAGGGAGCCCTGGGCTGAAGGACCGGAGTCACAAACCAGTTCTTCAGCATCAGTGATTTTTTGGGGTGCTGGTGAGACAAAAAAGCAATTGAAGTTCCTTCAGGGAGTAATTTTAATCGGTTGCAGATTAATCAAAACCAGGTCACAGTAACTAGGTGTGGCCTGTGCTTTCAGGCCTCAGAAAGTGTGTAAAAAACTAGAGGAGCAGTTCTGTAAAGGAGGTGAGGAGCCAGAGTACAGCCACTACGAGCAGGATGGCGGTGATTGTACTGCCTCTCACCACACCCACAACCACAATTATTTCTCCTATTGCCAGACCAACAGGACAGCAGAAAAAGTGAAAGTGTGTTAAAACAGCAGCCAGCAGTGATGGCCAAATCAGGAAATACGTGAATACCAGACAATAATTCAACAAGCAGGATGTTTGCTTTAGATTTTGGATGTTAAATATATACCGATCACTTGGGGAATTAGTCATAGCTTTCCATATCCATACATCACACAAGTCTGCTAAAAACTCCTGTGGTGAACTTTCGGGGGGGGGAGGGAGGAGCTAGCACAGCCAGGCAGTGAGAACAGCCACTCACACCTCCTGACTCCTGCCATAGATCACTCTGTTCCCTTTTCAAGGCAACGGCAATGTGGGCACAGACTCTGATAGTGCAGGCTTGGGCCTGGGGAGGCACCGCTCCCCAGAAGCCATTGAAGGTCAGAAATTACCCCCTCCCTCGCTCCTTACTTGTTTCAAAGTTCTGCAAAGCAACCCTAAATCCATCCCAGTCCCCACTCGCTCACAAGGATTGCAGTGATTGATGCCTGTTCTGTATTCACCCAGCATAGGTGAGAATAACAGAAGGAGGTATGTGTGGGTAAGAGGAACTAATCCCCTCCTCCCTTCAGACCCTCAGAAATATTGTCACCTATGTTTTGAAGTATTTATCTTTTCGACAAAAATTCAAAATAAATTCACTTCTCCTCCCCACCACTCCCCTGTCCCTGATTATGAATTACTTGGCAATGGAGCTAAAAGATGCAAAATACATGTGGCCAAATGTTCTTCTTGTTTATACCTCTGCAGACTTTTTTCTTCTTAGGAAAAAAAGAAATTACAGAGGAATGAGCAAGGAAGAAAATTTGTAACTTACACATTGCTGCCCACAAGTGTACTAGTGACTAAGCCACATAGTTTAAAATATAATAACTAATTGTGAGTTGGGCCAAATCTATAAAGGGTGTTAATGTTTCCTGGAAGGGGTTTTGCAGTAAGTACGGAGTCACATAGAATAATTTTCTGTAGCTTAGGAACTGTTCTTCTTGAGAAAGTGTTGCTTTCCAATATGTATAATATGTAGTTGTACCAGACATTAAGCATTGCCCTTATTTTACTGGGGAACAAGGCAGGTTCAAGGTGAGAACCCATCGATTTCTGTTCCCAGGGAAGATACTAGTTGTGCCGTGTGAACAGCTTGGAGCACCCTCCAGGAGCCTGCTCCTAGTGAGGGAGCCAAGAGATTAACATGCAGAAGCAGAGGAACAGAAACCTAAATTTTTACTGCAGCACTCCTTCAGGTATAATGCCCTGTCAGGATTGCTTCTGCACCCCTTGTCATATCAGTCATGCAGCCCTTATAAATGATAAAAACGGCTAGATTTGACAAGTCACAAGGAAGTACGTCTCTCTGTATTTTTGTGTATTTCAGTGTCTCTTTTATATTTCTCTCTGTGTGTTGAGTTTTATCTCACTCTTTCCAGTTTATATTCACTGTGGCAAGAAGGAATCTCAGCAATGTGCAGGCAAGGCAGGAGGACTAGGCTCCAAAGAAGGGTGTTTTTGAAAGGGGGTTTGAGCTTCACCACATGAAACAAAGCAGGAAAGTAACTTCTTCCATTAGTTACCACAAGCACCTTCACAATCACGCTGCTGCCACGCTACTCACTCTCGCACTGCCTTTCTCTTGCAACACGCACCCAGTCCCAAGGGGGCTGCAGCCCCCAAGCTGAGATGCGCACTGCTGGGAGAGGTGCCAGTGCATGCTCACCCCCCCAAGAGAGACCAGGAGGAGACCAGCTCCTCCTGAGCCTGCAGAGGTGCCTGCCTGAGCTGCACAAGTGGGGCCATCGAGGCTTAGAAGAAAGAATAGACTTTCTCATGTCTTAAGTTCTGCTTTCTCACTTTTCCTCAACCTTTTGCTGACTCACGTGTTCACTGCCTTCAGGGAAAAGAAGGGCAATTAGTACAATTCTATTACAAGATTTCTGGTTTTATCTGAGTGTCGCAGAGGAGAAAGTTGGACTGTATGAACTCTATAGGCTCAGAAATATGACAGATGGAAAGAACCCAAGCAGTGTTAGTGAGACCTTAGGTCTCACAACTTTTAGCCATTGCATGACAGTGGCCAACTCAGGATTATCTCAGGATTATCCTGACCTTAACTTTTCAGGGGAACTCTCTTGCTGAAGGCAAGCACTGTTCAGCTATTGAAAAGCTATAGCCTCTCTGGGAGAGAAAAAAATTAGAAACAAAATCTTATACTACATGCTCTGGTCCACACTGTGCTCTGCTCTCATATCTACAGAGCACTTAAGTTTTTTAAGAATTTTCAGATAATAACCATTAAATCCTTGCAGCAGTTATCTTTATCTCATGGAGAGGGAAAAGGAGACACCTGAAATTTAAACTGACCTATGTGATCTTCCTGGACAGAGCAAGGATGTAACCTTGCAAATGTTCCTGCTATCTATCCCTCAGCTTAATCCCCTGTACAGCTTGCAAAGACAAAAAATAGCAAACCACACTCCCAAAGATGCTGCAAATATTTTCTTTCTGTTGCAGCTTCAGGAGAGCCTGGTCTCTGGCAGCAGACCTCCTTAAAGTACATCTCCCTCTGTAGGTGCCAAATCTTTCTGTGCATGTGATGCTCTGTGTCCATCCTCTAGAGGGTCTGCTTCCTGGTAGTGCTCCAAGGGTTTGATCCTCCACTTCAGGTCAGGATTCATCCTGTATGCAGGCACGCTTGGCATGTAGCTGTGGCTATGGCTGTCAAGCACTGCTGCTATTGTGGAAATGAATGGAATTAGTCTCTAGTGAGGGACACAACTCTTAACCGAGATTCCTGTTGTATCCTACATGCAACAGCCTGCAGGGAGTTGCTGAGTCATGCACCACATCTGCCTGTGACAGTGCAGAATGCTGCAGGGAGCACATTAACGAAACACCATTTAGGGTGAAAAGACTTGTCTTTGTTATCTTCCAGTGGCACACTAGTGCGAGAATGTTAAAATACTGTATTAAGTTAGTTGTTATAGGGAAGGGAAAAGAATGATGCTTCAGAGTTATATGTCCACTAAAATTGAAGTTTGGATAGTATGCATTCAGAAATAATTTTATTTTCCAGTAATGACAATATGCAATATCACGTAAGAAATGAAATTGAAGAATTGATCTTATTCTTCAAATACAGGATAGCTTCAATATTAAAATTAACATATAAATTTAGCATCAATCTTATTTCCCCACTCACGTCCGCTGAGTAAATGCACATAAAGAATGAATCACTGAAACAGTATGCGGAGAGAATCAAAGTCATTTTTCAAAGGTGTCAGCACAAATGTGAGGTGAGCCTGTTCACCAATCATCCAACAAATGTTGTAGGGGTGGCCCTTCAGGCCCATAAGGAGGACAAGTCGGGGACCCCCGAGGGGAGCAGCACAACCACCGGCAAAGGCAAGGCAGGGAGGAATTTGGGGCAGGACAGACTCATTGCACC